AGTTGTGGTTTCTTTTGCCATTGATTTTGAATTTCATTGCACTATGGTCATATAATATGAATGGGATAATTTCAATCCCTTTATATTTACTTAAGCATGTTCTATGAGCTCGTATGTGGTCTATTTGGAGAATGTTCTGTGCACAGCTGGGAAGAATATGTATTCTAGTGTTGTGAGGTGGAACACTCTGTAGACAGCTGCTAAATCCATTTGTTCAAAAGTTTGTTTTGGTTCTGATATTTCTTTGTTGAATTTTGTTTAGTTGATCTATTTGTAACAGTAGGGTATTGAGGTCCCCCATTACAATTGTATTAGTGTTTATTTGACTTTTTATGTTTGTTAATATTTATTTTATATAGTTGGGGGTGCTGGAATTTGGTGCATATATATTTATGGTTGTTATCTTTTACTCTTGGGTTGTTTCATGTACAAGGATGTGGTGACCATCTTCATCTCTCTTAATCTGTATTGGCTTGAAATCTGCTGTCTCTGCCAGTAGAATAGGTATCCCTGCTTTTCGTCCAGATTCCTATCATGTCATGGCATATTCTTTTCCATCCTTTGACTTTTAGTCTAGAAATTTCCTTTTGAATTAAATGTGTTTCTTGCAGGTAGCATATTGTTGGATCTTGCTTCTTAATCTGTTCTGCCAGTCTGCTTTTGATTGGTGAACTGATATCATACACATTGAGGATTGTATCTGACATGTATTGACTTATTCTTGTCATGTTATTTTCCTGTTGTTGATTTCCTGTGTTTTCATCTGTTTAATTGCTCGCCTTGCCTGGCAGCTTCTTTCTATTTGTGATCTTGGAATTTCAGTCTTCATTATCTCTTTCTAAAATATCCTTCAGATAATTTTGTACAGCTGGTTTGGTGGTCATGAATTTCTTTAGTTGTTCTTTCTCATGAAATTATTTCACTATTGTTTTTGAAAGATAATTTTTCAGGGTACATCAGTCTGAGTTAGGTGTTGTTTTCTTTCAGGACTTGAAATACTTCATGCTGTTCTTGACTTGAGGGTTCATGTGGATAAATCTGTAGTGATTCTGATGGGCTTTTCTATACAGATAATTTATTTTTTTTTCTAACAGCTTTTAATTTTTTTAAATTTCTAGAATCTTAGCAAATATATTCTTAGGATCATGGCTAATTGGAGCTCTGTATGCCTCACCTAACTTTATGTCAAATTCTTGTTCCTTGCTTGGGAAGTTTTCTGACATTACTTCTGTAAACAGATTTTTTTATGTTGTTGATGCTATCTCCTGCTTTTTCATTGGCTCCAATCCATTTTGTGTTATTATTCTTTGCACCATCTAGCAGCTGTTGGTTGATTTTCCATGGTCCCTTGCTGTTTTTAAGAAATCTTTCTTTTTGTGATTGCTAACCATAACCCTGTCTTGTATATCTGATATTCTGTCCTCAAATTGGCTTGTTCTACTGCATATGCTTTCATTGGAAGTTTTAATCACTTGGCTATCTGTTTGAATCTGTTTCATGGATTCTATTTATTTTCAATATTGGGCATTTATGGTTTCCATCATTTTCCTAAGCTGTTCTATTTTTTTTTATCAATATGTGCTCTAGAATTACTAACCATGTCGTTTATTATGGTCACCATCTGTGTAGTTATTTGAGAAATTATTTCTGATTTGGTTTTTTTCTAGAGCCTTAATTATTTGCTTTGTTACTTCCACCATTACCACTTCAGAAATCCATGTGGGTGGCTTTCAAATTGTTCAATTTCATTACCCTCTGAGTTTCCTTTGGTGAGATGGAAGTCTGAGATTGCATCTTGCTTTCTTGTGTTCTCATTTTCTATTTTTTTAGTTTAATTCCTGGGTTTGTGCTTGTAAATTGCTTATGGCAGGTAGTTTTAATGCTAGTGTTGAGAATGCTTAGGAAATGACTACTTTTCAGAGGTTTATTCAAGGTGTAGCTGGCTACTGGGTTTTGTGTTTGTTGCAACATCCTGATTATTCATTTTATTGCAGAAGAGAATTTGCTGCCTATTAGGCTTACCCCTGGTTCTTTGATATTGGCCTATAGTACTATTTATGACCTTCAAGTAATCTCAGTCTTGACATACCAGGAAGAACAACTGAGTAGACCAACTGTGTCACCTTGGCTAAATTAGTAAATCAGTAATAACAATAGTATCAAATACAGCCTCAAAATGACAAACTATGTTAGCTATTAATTTTGCCACCTTTAACTATATGAACTACATTTGTGGTTATATAACAAAAACTAAAAAACTAGAAAATTGTATATAGTAAATATGCCCTCAATACGGTGATGTTACCCTCAGGGAAGAAAATCTAAAAAGGGTTAGGTAGAAAAATAGAGAAATGGAAGAAGAGGAATAGATTACAAGCAAGGCTGGAGGACAAAGGAGGCTGATGTGAACTTTGGGAACATAGGAAGAAGATAGGGAGGAAAACAGAAGGAAGAAAGAAAAAGAACAGAGTAGGACAACAATTTAAAAACTACAAATAATGTTTACATTCATATAAAAACAAAACAATCAAGAAAAAAGAAAACAAAACAAAAAAACAGGAAAGAAAAAAATGTTCACTTTAAAGCATGTCTTTCCTGTCACTGTAGCCATAGTGGGCACCAGACCCCAGATCCATGTTGATTAGTCTCAGCAAGCCAGCTGTAGATTTATGCAAGGGAGTGGATAATCCTAGCAAGCCTGCATCTTTAGTTCCACTGAAGTTCATGCCGGCTTCTAAATGTGAGGCTAGAACCTGATTTGCTCAGTCTGTGACACTATGTGTGCTTCCTGCTGGTTTGAACTTGATTCCTTGATCTTCTGCCAAATTGAACTTTGTTCAACCTCACCCTGACACTGGGAGCCACTAGATGGAGCAAACCTGTATTTGCTCTGAGTTGCCAGCTCAGTTGACCACTCTCCAAGATGGCATAGCCAAGTGCTCTCTCATGGGAAACTTCTGAACCTAGATAACTCACCAGCTACTACAGTCCACTGGGTCCACTGCTGAATTTCTCTGTGGAGATCTCTGAGGTAACCAGTAGTCACTGTACATCTGCAGGCTCAAGCCACCCATCCCACACAGTGAGTCAGGGCTCAAGGAGAAAGCACCACTTACTACCTCCTTCTGCATTGAGGCCCTTCTTTTCACTGTCCCCATGGATTTCAATGCTCACTTTAGATCCTTGCTGGTTCCCAGGGATCCACTTCCCTTTTTCTTTTCTTCTTCACATTGGTATATTCCTGCATTTGGATATCAAATCTCAGAGAGGCTGTTTTTCTCTACTGTTCATCACCCCACCATCTTCCCAGAAGTAACAATTAAAAATATATTTTTAACATAGTTAAAAGTACCACAATCAGAGTGTAGAAATCATGAGTACTGTTTGCCAAATATCTCTGCTCTGTTCCTCCTAGGCACAGATCATACTCTGTAGGATCATGCTCCCTGCTTCTTGGGATTGGCTGGTATGGGTCTGGTTCTTATGAGGAGTTGAATTTGGAAATGAACATGTGTTTACCAAAAGAAAGAGCTTCTTGAGCTCTCTTCAGCCTCTGTTACTGTGCCTGGCAATATCTGTGAGAGTGGCACCCCCAATGGCCCACAATAAGCATGAGAATAAGAAATCTGATTTGATCATCTTTAGTCACTGTGACTTGGAAGTTGATTGCTACTGCCATGTGCCTTAGTTCATCCTGCCTGCACCAGAGAAGATATTAACATTGAGATGCCCAGTATAGTATATCTCTGTAAATAAAAATCAACTAAAATTAAAAGATCACTATTAGGAATTGGTCAGAATGAAAGAAAATAACTGTATTTTTCAACTGTTTTCTAGCCTTTGATTAAGGGTACTATAAAGTTCAATGTTAAGACTTCTTCCTCCCAGATAGCCTGGGTTGAGTCTCTTTTCTACCTTTTGTTGATGGCCAGACCAACTCCAGATGATCACAATCTAATTTTTAAATTGTTGTTCTTTCATTTTAAAAGTTGCACCATGTGCTATTTAACATATGAACAGTTTAGAATCAAGTGCAATAAAATGTAAAAGGCTTTCTTCCTCTGCCCTGCTCCCAGCCCACTCCCTACAGTTCACAGTTTGGAGTAAATGCCTCCAGGCATTTTCTGCAGTTCCAAGTACAAACACAATACCATTCTTCATATTCTTCTGTGGTTTTGCCTTTTCATTTATTTTATCAGGTGTCTTTTCATGATGGTGCATATTAAATTTACCTATCTCTTTTGTTAGTTTCCTAATAATAGATGGTTTGGTTTTTTTCTGAGTCTTTTCCTATTATAATGCTCCAGTGAACATCCATATAAAAATATACCTTTTGCACACTTGTATGAAAATCTAGAAGAAGAATCCCTATAATTTGAATTCTGGCTTGACAGGAAATTGCAGTTTAAATGCCAGTAAATACTATTCCAGTGGTGGCAAACCTGTAGCACACATGCCACAGTGGGCTCTTTGTTATCCATGGAAAGCTCTAAAAGGTTCACCACCACTGGACTATTCTCTTGCCAAAGGTCAACCTATTTACATTCCATCCAATGCAGAGTGAAATTCTTACCTTTTCCACTCTCAAGAATGCAACATTTTGTATTATAAAACTTTGAAAAACCTATCACTGTCATCATGAACTATATGATGTGGCTGATTTATGGGACATCTCCTTAACTGTAGGTGGGTTTATGCTTGTTTTCAAGGATGATAACACCTTTAGTCAAATCAAGTATGGTGAAGCTTGGATGGTATTCTTTCTCTTTCATTTGTGCTAATTTCATTGTTTATATTTCAGGGAATAATCATATCTTGAGCACCTAGGATCACCTCACTGCCACGCTTCATGCACTGAATGAACAGGGCTGGCTGCATTTCTAGACCTAGACATGGTAGCTGGGTTTTTTTAATAATGATGTCCTCCAAGCAGATGAACTGGGAATTGGGCAGCCCTTGAAGCTCTAAGTTAATTGATGTGAACTATTCTTTCATTGCAGCAATTCAGTTTTGTGTCCTTGCCCACTGATGTGCTAGAAATTGAGGTGAAGGACAAGTTTGCCAAGAGCCGCCCTATCATCAAGCGCTTCCTGGGAAAGTTATCGATGCCTGTCCAGAGACTGCTGGAGAGACACGCCATAGGGTAAACCTGTGACTGGGATCTCAACATCACTCAGCTTTGGCTAACAGGCCAGGCCACAGGGGGACCTGGAAGCTGGAATAATACAGAGTCTCACAAAGAGTGAAACTAAAATGTTGCATTTCTTTGGCTTCTTCTATTAGTTATATTGACTGAGCTACAACATTCAATTAAATAAATCTTTCCCTTTTCCTTGTATGTCACAGGTTATATATGCAAGGGAGCAAAAAATTCTAAGACAGTATTAAGGGAAATCATCAGTGAGACATTTTTCTGTATAAATACATATTAAAGTTTATTTTACTCTAAGGAATATTATTTTATTCATATGCCTATCTTATATCTAGAATTCAATCATTAACATCTCTATAACAAGACGAAAAGCTGATTTTCTTGGTAGAATAGCTCAGAAGATGGTAGTATTTGCAGAAATACTAGATAAAATGAATGAAGTTTGGAAAACATGAATTCTTGTGGAATGACAATTATGTCACTTGCAAAATTTAATTATTTATAAGAATACATTTCTGTGTTTTGGATCATTTACATTCATGTTCACCCGTAGTTCTCGTTAATATGAACTATGACCCAAAAAACTTCTGAGGTATAATATTTGCTTCTTTAGGTAATAACAACTATAATTGCAAACACTAGACACAGCTTTTTGACTATAAACATATGCTTCAATATGATATAACCCTTAGAATAAAAAAATGAAAAAAATCATGCAGAATTTCCACATGTCTTAAAGTTCTTTGTCATGACTTGGGCATGACTAATGAGTATTATAAAGCTATTTAATTGGAACCTTGCAGCATGTGTGCAATTATATACACACATATATGTCATTAACTCTCAAACTAAAGGGAGCTACATTTATTGAGCTAAGTGTCAAACAGTACTTACATTTCCCCATCATGGTAATAGGCATCAAGCAATCAAAAAGTGTAATTCAAGAACCTAGCAGAGTCTCTACAAATATTAGCAACTCAAAAAAGGAATGGTGCCAGGCATGGTGGAGCACACCTGTAATCCCAGCACTCAGGAGGCTGAGGCAGGAAGACCACTGTGAGTTCAAGGCCAGCCTGGGCTCAATAAACAAGTTCAAGTCCAGCTACATGGTGAAACACTGAGTCAAAAAAAAGAGAAAGGAATGGTGCTCCTCATGATCTTTGTTATCCCATCTAGTCCTTGTAACATTTCTGTGATGTAGGCATTATCACAACTTTTCTAAATACAAAAAAGGAGCTTAGAAGGGATGAGTAATTCCTTAAGTCAAAGCATGTGAGGGCCAGAGATATAGCTGAGACTCATGCACACCTGTCTCTCTCCAAGTGCAAGAGCTCTAAGAGGCTCTTTGCAGGGTTCCTAAGACTGGTTGTCTATGAGGTGTGATGAAAATATATGGGCAATACACAAATTTTTAAAAATTTATTACAGTAAATACACACCACCACTAATTTCCCTCAAAGTCCTCCTCCTTGCTTCAAACACATGGATCCCATTGTTCTTGCCACTTTCTGAAGCAGTTCTGGAGTTCTCCTTCATGAGTGTCTATATGAAGTGTGATAAAAAAAAATGCAGGGAGTGTCGCTACCAAGCGCCATCTGATAGAAACTCAGGCTCATAAAAACATTATGCTTTGTCCTCATCCACATTATTCCCTGGATCTGGAACAGTGCAACTTCTGGATCTTCCCCAAAGTCAAAATGAGCATGAAAGGGAAATATTTTTTAATCAGTTCAGGATATTGAGGCAGCCATGACAGTGCACCTAAAGACACTCATGAAAGAGGACTTCCAGAACTGCCTCAGAAAGTGGCAATGAGATAAGTGTGTTTCGGTGAGGGGAAATATTTTGAAGGGGATTAATGGCAATGTGTTTTTTACTGTAATAAATCTTACAAAACCATTTAAAGATTGGCTGTATTTTTCAGTCACACCTTGTAGTTTTATTATTGACCTCATTTTCACACTGGTAAAACTCTGCCAGGAGGCAGGCTACAGCTGGGGAAAGAAAGAGGCTATGTGGGAAAATATATAGAGGCAGGGTTTGAATCAGGCTTTCACATCGAGCTACATCTCTAGCACTGTTTTTTATTTTTTGTTTTTTATTTTGAGGTAAGATCTTGCTAAATCACTAAGTTGTCCAGGCTAGGCTTAAATTCAGGATTCTCCTGCCTCAGCCTCCCAGTGTGCTGGGATTATATGTACAACCATGCCCAGCAATGTCAGACTCTTTACACCCCAGCACTGAGCACACTGCTGCCCAGCATATACTAGATACTCAGTTAGTACCTGTTGAGCTGCTCTGTGGTGCACACTGCAGCCACGGACAGAAACCATCTATTCCTCAATGCTGAATATTTTTCATAATCCCCAAGGTGCTGGCTCATTTCTTCATGTCATTGTCCTACCCTCCCAGACCAACTCTTTTGGAAGACACTTCCCCCAAGTGGTGAAGGCAAGCAATTGAGGTTTAAAAAAAAATAGATCTCTAACCTGCCCAAAGCTAGCTCGATACTTCTAGTGTTTTGCCAACCAGGGAAAAGGAAAAGTCCAGACAAGTAGGAAGGAGCTTAACCCCTCTCTAAGAGGAAGCAGCAGCAAGCAGGGAGGTGCTCTCTTTCCCACCTCCTCTGATTGGATGACACAGCCCCTGGCAGCCTGAGAAAGGGACTCCTCAAGGCCCACTACTTCCTCTGCCCCTGCAGCCACTTTTGCAATGCCCCCCATTCTGGAACCATCCAGGGTAGGTAGGAGCAGGACCTAAGGGCAATGGCTTAGAAACAATAGTCGTTTGGTCTAGGCCATGGCAGGTCCCCAGAACACATCTAGAACAGAAGCAACCCCCACTTCCACCACAGCTTCCCTCTGCCCTCACAAATGCACTTCACATAAGTCCCCTGAATCCATTAACCCATTGCTGTCTCCTTGCCTTCAGATAATTGTACCTTTCCTTCACATACACACACACACACACACACACACACACACACACACACATACACATTTTCTAGCCCTCCCTCCATCTCTTTACCTGTAATAACCTATGCTTCAGCTGGCTGTTAACTTCAGCCACCTCTTCTTCACTTTGGAAGTGAACCACTACTCAGTGGTCCTTCCTTATGTCCCCAGTTGGATGATGGAAATTATTTAATGACACCCTATGCACTTAGTGTCAATTGCAGTACTTTTCATGGAAATTTATAGATTGAGTTGAAAGATAATCTTAGAAGGCAAAGTATAATAAATATAAGATGGTACTTTGGTTCATGAATACTTTTGTTTGCAAACAATTTGATTCACCAACAGAAACATTTGGAAAACTTTTGTTTTTGTTTGTGAACTCTGCATCAGATGACAAACATGACCACAGCCACCTTCCCTGCACGAGCCCGAATGTGGCCATCTTTTCCAGAATCGTGGAACAAATTAAGTTGGTGAACTGAGATATTACTATATTTCTGTGCACCATCTGGTCATCTTTAAGTTGATTCAATTAAGTTTTGAGTTCAGAATGTCTTGCTTATTGTCCGAGTATACCTACTTCATAATGTTACCCAAGGCCTTTTCTACTAGACAAACTTTTGTGACTCATCCTGTTTTTCCTATCTGTGATGCTTTAGTTTAATGGACTTCTGACACGAAACACTAAACTATGGCTTAGCAAAGAAAAACATTACCCCCACTGTGTGTGGTGGCACACACCTGTAATCCCAGCACTTGAGAGGCTGAGGCAGGAGGATCATTGCGAGCTTGAGGCCAGCCTGGGCTACAAAGCCAGTTCAAGACTAGCCTGAACTGCATAATGAGACCCTATCTCAAAACACACACACACACACACACACACACACACACACACACACAAATTCCCCACCAGAAAAACATTAAGTCAGTGGATCACTAGAATATATGTTGTTTCCTAATGTCAGTGTTTTCTAGAACAAAACATTAAAACATTACCAGCCAGTGACTTTCATCCTTTTATTTAAATGCCACAAATGAATAAATGGAAGGAATATAGAGTAGGAATTGGTCTTAGAATATGTCTTTGTTAGCCGAGCATGGTGGCACATGCCTGTAATCCCAGCACTTGGGAGGTTAATGCAGGAGGGTCCCTGCAAGTTCAAGGAGGCCAGCCTGAATGGCATAGTAAGATCCTGTCTCAAAAAAAAAATGTCTTTATTATTATTGGACACACTGGATTTGCTACTTTTTGTATATCTGAAGGTAATCAGTCTTTCTATTTCAGCCAAGGTAGGGGCAAGTTACTCTGTTAAAACTAAAGGTACTCTGCTGAAGCTATAATTTTTTATGAAAACATAACAGCACATCTTCCCCTTGGATACCTTTTGATTGCGCTGGATAGCTTTCTTTCTAGTAATTAAGAAATTGCTTTGAGTAGGTAGATGGGATGGAGCCAGAGTCCAGGGTAGAGACAAAGGGTCTCTGCATATGGAAGCCCTGAAGTTGGTGTGCAATTAGAAGTCAAAAACCAGTGAACTTAGCCCACAAGTCTTGCCCCGCTCCGTCCTGCAGCAGGTGGCTTTCCACAGCAACCACAGGGTCTCCAGCACACCTTGACGGCACCTCTTGTTACACATGTATTCTATACATACTCCATGACATGCATGTCCTGGCACTGTCCCTGGTTAAGGGGATATTTGGGAAATGGTGGTCTGCACAGGAAAAGCAAGCAAAAGCCATTGACTTGTCATTGTTTTTCCTTGTTTTTATTCTCTGGAACAAAAGTTGACAAACTTTTTTGGAAAAGGCCATGAAGTAAATATCTGAGGCTCTGTAGGGCCGTATGGTCTCTGTTCAAACTGCTGAACCCCGCCACCACAGCATGACAGTAGTCAGAGACAATATAAGCAAATCAGCATGACTTCATCCCAATGAAACTTATTTATGCACACTGAAATTTGAATTTCATGTTATTTGCATGTCTCAGGAGCTACTACTCTTTCATGGATTGTGTTTTTATTTCCAATCATTTAAACATGTTAGAAGCTCCAGGTTATACAAAAACAAAGGTGGCCCCAGTTAGAGGCTGTAGTTTGCTGAGTCTTGGAGTATTCAGTAAGAATTTCCTTGAAATTGACCATATGTGTTCCCATTTTTACCTTAGGATCCTCTCCTATGTACCAGGTCACATCAAGGTTTCCTGTTATCAAGGCTTCCCTGGGCTTGCCTGTCTCAGCTGCTAGTACAGACAGCACACTGTATGGTCTATAACAGAAGAAGTATTGACCAGATCCATGATAGTCCTTATTTCCTTCTAGGGATAGGGTGGTCAGCTACACACTTGGCCGAAGGCTTCCAACAGATCATGTGAGTGGACAGCTGCAATTCCGATTTGAGATCACTTCCTCCATCCACCCAGGTATTTTCAGCATGAACTTCATGTCTTGTCCTAGGCTATTGTCCTAGTGTGTTCCTTTCTCTAAAACACAATAACCATGGTTCTCTCTAGACATACCCTAGGTTTTGTGCTTCTTTATCTTGAGACCCAGAAGCCAGTGGTGTATTCTGGAAGCCAGGTTGCCGTCCCCTTGATTGAGAGGCTCTTCTTCATTTTGGTGACCCAAAGGTAGAGGGTTACACAATGGAATGGGGGTTTTACTATGTGCCCAATGAGCCATGTTTTATTTAGCATTTATTGCCAACACCCACATAGGAGATGCTCAGTAGATATTTCATCATTGCACACAAATGAATGAATGAATGAATGGAAAACATCCTTCTAGCATGTAACTGGATGTACACTTGCCAGTAACTTAAAAATGTCATATTATTAAAGAATTATGATTATACAATTAATTCTTACAATATCACAGAGAAAATGGAAAAATATAAATTAGAAATTTCAGAATCATCTTCATGTTTGTTTTTTTCATGCCAAAACATATTTCTAAATAAGAATGATTTCCACTTTTGTTCTCCTTGATGGCCCTGCCCATCATATGTGAAGATCAAGCTGAGACTTGATAGGTTCTCTTGGGCCACATTTATAAGTTTCCATTAATGCCTGCAAAGATTTTGAGAATTTAGCATGAGTAGTTTATTATGACACACTGATTAAATGCTAATTATATCCATATACACTTCAGATTGTAACCAAACACCTTGACTGCTTTATCCTGTGAAAATCAGCCCTTTGCTACTTTCTAAGAATAAAACTGACTCTTTGGTGGTGTGGCCATAAGGACAGCTTTACAGTTCACTTGAAAGATTGTCTTTCTTCAACTAGTGAATTGCATTAGTGCACTTGAAATGGAGACATTCACATCAGGCAGGGAATCCCACAGTGCAGCAGCTGGGGAAGGGAGAGTTAAACAGTACCTGTTGCTCTTTGAATGGCTGCTTCGTGTGGAGAACTTGCTTATTTTTCTATTGCAATAGGCTCATGATGACTGTGATTGCTCCCTTCTGTCATCCACCCCTTTATCCTCTCTAGTTGCCTAAAAACCTGGCTTACCCATTCAGGCACCCTTTGAAATCCATCCATAGGAAACATTCTGAGCCAGTACAATTAACTTTGCCAGGGATCATAAAGAACCACAAACCACCCATCTGTGGAGGCCATCCCATGTAGCAAACACTGTCAAGCATCTTCTATTTGGGGCTTTTAACAAAAAAAAAAAGTTCAAAAATATACTCACTACTGCAAATTGTCATTAACATAACAAGAAGTCACTCTTACAGAATTTTTCCCCAGAGCTCTGGTCAGTGAGAAACTCTCATCAACCCCTACATGCAATACCCTGCTGTAGAAACCCCTTAGTGGCAACTTCATTGCTGCACAGTGGACCAGCACCCCCACGCTCTCTTCAAGAAGGAATGACATAGTTTTCTTCTCGCCAGCAGATGATGAAGAGATTTCACTAAGCACTGAGCCTGAGTCCGCAGAAACTCAGGGCAGCCTCATGAACAGCCTGGTGGGAAGCAGCCGCGGGGAGCCTCCAGATGATGCTCTCAATCCCTGCGACAGGTTGAAGGCAGTGCCCCTGAGTGAGAGTAACTCCGTGGATGGTGCAGGAAGCCAGATCCTGGAGCCTGCAGAGCCAGTGGAGGATGTGTCTTGCTCCATGGAAGCAGACGACCACGGCAAGGCCTTTGAGGAACCCGAGGGGTCTGGAGAGCCACAGGACACCCAGCCCTCCCTGAGTGCAGAGGAACTGGCCGAGGGGCTCGGCCTGGATGAGGAAGCACCACCATCGTTGCTGCTGGAGAATGGCGATGCACCTGTCAGCAAGGAGGAGCCGGGGCAGGAGGAAGCACTGTCTGGGAGCAGGGCAAGAGGGGAGGAGGAGGAAGAGGAGGCGGAGAAGCCGGAGCAGGCCGCGGAGGAGGTGGAGGTGGAAGAGGGGGAGCCTTCCAACCCTGAGCAGGATGAGCGCACGCTGCCCCTGCGGGCCTCAGCCAAGAGGAGGAGCAGGCCGTGCTCGCTGCCGGTGTCGGAACTGGAGACCGTGATCGCTGCAGCCTGCGCCGACCCCGAGACGCCGCGCACGCACTACATCCGCATCCACGCGCTGCTGCACAGCCTGCCTTGCGCGCGCGAGGAGGGCGGCATGGAAGAGGAGCCCACGCTGCGCGATGCTTCGGACAAGGACGCTCTCAGCGAGGCGGATACGCTGGCTGCCGAGCCTCCAGCGCTGGATGAGGACACAGCTGAACTCCAGAGCGGCCCTACAGGCTTAGGGACCCCGAGCCACCCCGGGGGCCACCTCCCGGGCCCCGAGGGTGACGCGCACCCGAGCACAGGCAGCGAGAGCGACTCCAGCCCGCGGCCGGGCGGCGAACACAGCTGCGAGGGCTGCGACGCGTCGTGCTGCAGCCCCTCGTGCCACAGCTCCTCGTGCTACAGCGCGTCGTGCTACAGCTCCTCCTGCTACAGTGCCTCCTGCCACAGCCCCTCCTGCTACAACGGCGGGAGCCGCTTCGCCAGCCACACGCGCTTCTCCTCGGTGGACAGCGCCAAGGCCTCCGAGAGCACTGTCTTCTCCTCGCAGGACGACGATGATGAGGAGAACAGCGCCTTCGAGTCGGTACCAGACTCTGTGCAGAGCCCGGAGCTGGACCCCGAGGCCACCAATGGCGCGGGGCCATGGCAGGACGAGCTGGTCGGACCTGGAGGGACAGTGGCGAGAACTGCAGAAGGTCTGGAGTCCCCCATGGCAGGTCCGAGCCATCGGAGAGAAGGTTAGACCTCAAACCTGGTCAGAGTAAGAATAGGACCACCCGGGGATCACAGGTCTCAGCGGCAGGTTTTAAAACAATACAAGGAGGGACCGGTTCCCCACGGGATTCCAGGGGCAAAGTGTGCCTGGGTTGTGCCAGTGTGTGCATGTGTCCAGGTGTACTTGAAAGTAGATGACTGTGGATTGCTGGCACCCCACCGTGTCTCAGGCACACACCAAGAAGTACAGCTGGTTGGATGTGAGTGTGTGCACTTGTATGTATGTTTTTCTGCTTTAACCAGTCACCAGGACTGGATGGTGTAAGTTACCTTTCCAGTCTTGACAGCAACCCAAGTGCCAACACGAGTATCAAATGGTACCACTGAGAAATAATCACTCTGTCTTTGACGGTAGATGGATAATAGGTAAAATACCTGCTGACTTCCCAAAACACACTGAGGTTTAGCAGTAAATGTTAATGTTAGTTGAAGAACATGGATTTTACCTTTGATTCAGAATTTAATTAGTCTGTGTATATGAATGGAAAAAAGCATGCCCATGTTTGTCATTACAGTATTTCTGTTTGCTCGGTTCTTGTTATAACTGTTGGTTTTGTTTTGTTGGTGTTGTCCTTGTTGGCTTTTGTGCAGGATGAAAGGGAAGAATAACATGAATGTGTAAATCAGAGTGTTTCTAATATGACTCTAATCCCAAAGTTGCATCTTTAGTTCTAAAGTGTATTGTATGTTTTAACCAAGGATGTTCCTTCTTACACCCATGGGATCATATATTAAATTAATCTGCTTTTCTTTGTCCAGGATTGGGAACCATTTTCCAGTCAAGCGACAGTAGCACAGGGAAAAGAGACAAGTTGCACAATAATATAATTCGATTGTTTTAAAAAAGCAAGATATGGATGCTATTTTGCTGTTGAACTGTTTAAAATCACCTGCAAACAAAAGGTGGTGGGATTCTCTCTAGACTGTAAGCTCATCAAGGGCCAGAATTACATCTTCTTTTTATTTCAATCCTCAGTACCTAAACAAACACCCAGTACCTACAAAGTTTTTGAACAGGAACTAAAGTGAGCAAGATTGCCAATTTGTGCATTCCCAAAACTGCGGCAGGTGAGCCAGGTGGATTCAAGGTGGCCATGCCCGCATATAGGTTAGTTGGAGGCAATTTAGAAAAGAAGCCTATTTTAGAGCCTTGTTAGCTTGTTATTAAATACGAACTGATAGGCATACAAACTAGTATTTTTCATTTACTTTTTTGCTTGCTTTCTCTCTATGAACACATTTTTTAAAACTCCATATAAAATAATTTTTTAAACCAGGCATGGTGGTCCATGCCTGTAATCTAAGCACTTGGGCGGTGGAGGCAGGATTGCAAGTTTGAGTCTCACCTGGGAAACTTAGCCAGACTCTGCCTCAACAAAAATAAATAAATAAATAGTGCTGTGCATATAGCTCAGTGTGAAAGCTCTAGGTTTAATTCCCAGTAAGAAATAAATAAAATGAAATTGTTTCTTGAAACCTTGCACAGGTGAATGGAAGGAGTAAGGTGTATGTGGTTATGAGCTCGAGCCCTAGAGGCCTGCTCGGTTTATATCCAATCCCACCATGTCCTCAGCAAGTGACCTAACCACTCTGTGACCTCACTTTCCTCCCGAGTCAAATAGATATGACTGGAGAATGTACCCCAAGGTGTTATTGGAAGAGCCAAATGAGATATTATAAATTACCATACAGTGCTCTCCTTGAACAAAGTGAAAGTCTTCCAGATAAGCGACAGGGCTAACAGCATCCCAAACCATCCTTTAACCTTATATTTCCTGCACCATGTTATTTAAGAGAAACTTTCACATTGTTAGGTACACATCACTGCTTCAAATAATATTCGGTGCAGTCTGTGTTTTCCTACAATTCCGTTTTATTATTTATAAACAAAAGAGAACTGAAAAGGACCTCTTTGACGTTCAGCTGAGAAACAGGTTTCTGTCCAGGATGCTCCACCAGGTTGGAACTCTTGCTTTCCATTTGAGGCGAGGGTGATTGTGTGGAGCTGGCTCCTGGTACTGGACATAATCGCTTGCTTCTGCACTGCGCTCCATCCATCCAATCAGCTGACTTGTCAGTCACGTCATTGTATCTGCTTGGGCTTCCCAAGCAGGTGGGCCAGTTCCATTAACCCCAGGCAAGCAGCGAGATTGTATTTCCACTAGCTTGGAGGAGTAATTAACCTGTTTGGTTGAATTCATTACAATGAGATGTTTGTTGGGTTTTTTTTAAGAAACTAAATTAAAAGTGCAGCAGCTGATGACATAACAACTGTACCTTTGTTTTTTTTTTTTAAATTTCTGACACTGAGCACATAGAAAAACCAGCATCAATGCAGGGCAAACTTAAACACAGAAGCATGTTTGAAACAGCAGTCATCAGTCCACACTGAGCTGTGTGTGGCAGGAGGGCCACCTTCTTTGATTTCCACTAGCATCTCCAAGGAACAGAGGATTTGTTTAATATTAAACAATTTGCAGCGTTATGTTTTTAACACTTCAAGGTGTCTTCTGTATTTTTGTTTGCAGTTACCTCTAGGAGTTAAGCTACTAAACTAAACCCTCCTATCTTCCTTCATTAATTTAATTTTTGATGGGGTCAGGGGAACTAGGGTAAGAAAAGATATTCATCTTTCTCCGTGGGGACATTCTGGGAAATGATTAGCATTCTGAGATCTCACAAAGATCTCAACCATCACCTGTCACAGTTTCTCTCCCTTTTGACCCAACAGGTAGTGGAACACTTGTTATTTGTGTTACCCTTGGAGGGTAGAGGAGAGAAAAGGGTTGATATTTATCCCCTGGCTATTGGGGTTTGAGGCAAGAAGAAACCAGACTGGAGTTGGATGGAGGTTATCTTGAGTCTTGGGCCCTTCTAGATCGCCGAGATTAAGAGCAGTCACCTGGTTCAGTAGGCTGTCATGAAACAGAAACGCTGGTCTAGAATGCTGTTGTGTCCATTATAAGTCTGAACTGACACAACCATAAACTATGTCTATAATAATCTAGGCCATGCATTCTGTGGATATGTTTATTTCTAGAATTTCTCCATGTCTGTCCCTTCTTCTATCCTGCTTCTGTGTTTCAAGTTTTCTTATTTCAACCTTCCTGCTTTCTATATATTTCTTTTGTCTCTTGTCTTTCCTCTTTCTAGAGCACCATGACTTGTTTGGTTCCTTCTCCAAATAGTCTGGAATAGTCAGGAGTTCCCAAAGCTCCTAGGGTTCCTTGCCTCAACTTCCCTATAAGAGGAATTTACCTTCTCGGTTCACAAGCTCCTTGAACCAGCTAGGAAAGGCAATATCTGAAAGTTTCATTCCCCTTCAAAATCTGGAAGATGGCCTCCATTCAGTCTTCTGATGAAACCTAGTCTTATAATGAAGTATGATTTTGTACAATTCCACCGAGTTTTTATGGAACTTTATAAATGCTGCACATCCCTCAAACAAGCCTGTTTCCTTTTCTGGGCTGAAACCAGGCTCTGGTTTTTGTCTCTTGTATTTCTTTCCGATGACATTTTCCCATCAAGAAAATTCTAGTGCTCCGTATGAGTCTGTGTGGCATACATCATTGCTCATGAAGTGTTTGGATTTTTCCCCCTCCTTCTTCTTCCTCTTCCTCTTCTTCTTTTTAATAGTTCCATCCGTCATGAATGACTGTGAATGTAGCAAACCATCACCAAAAAAATAGATTGCCAAACTAAATGTGTTGTTCTCATAGTAGTTTGTTTTACAGTCATGCTTTTTTGATGACGTTACCATAGCAATGAATGAATCTGAATTTCTTGACTATCTTGTCCATAGGTGAATGTCCTATTCTCCATAATTCCCAGCCAGTAAGCCAGCTTCCTTCCCTGAGGCCTGAACATCACCACTACCCAACAATCGATGAGCCTCTTCCACCAAGTAAGCTTTAGTTTTTAAAATCTGTGTCTTACCTCATCCTGTCAAGTCTAACCAGGTCAGTATGAATTTGTATATAAACATCCAAACTTTTTCTCAACTCTGTGCCTATCCCTGTTATCAAAAACAACACGACACCTACTACAAAAGTGGTATTTTTTGACTAGTTTTTCAGCATGTGATCCTGAAAAACTGACCAGATGTTTTCAGAGTCCCTCATTTCCTGAAATGGAGACGATTTCTTTACAAGCAACGCTACTTTTTTTTCTTGATGAACGTTACTGTTACTTGGAAACTATCCATAATGCTGAAATCCCAGATTTTACTGTTGCATTTAAATTTCTCTATTTCAAATAGTATAATTCTGTCGTTCTCTGTTGGATCTGTTATCCCCCAGTATCTCCACATAGTGGGCACTGACTTCAACCCATAGGGCCCAGAACTTGTACTTTTCTAGCTATAATTGCATCAGTAAGTAATAGCTCCAAATTTCTTCTGTAGTTCTTACAGGTGGCCAGGCAAAATACCACCTTTAGGTTAGAATTCAATGTCATTTTTTCCTAGGAACAATAGGGTATCATTAATAATGACCCAACTAGTCATCCGACCTTCCTAAATTCATTTACTTTCTCAGATACTCAGTTTTCTGATTTGTAAAATAAAGCTAAAGTGTCCTCACCTGCTAAGTGCTACATTTGGACTAGGTTGTTTCTAGATGTCATTCCAGAATTAACTTTATAGCACTCCATTTTAATAAACTTATAGGAAGGAACTGCTACCCCAGATATTCTAAGCTCACTTAGCATCACGTATGTTCATGAATTCCAGAACATCTCTGTTTGGGTTTAGGATTTTTTTTTCACATGAAGATAATATTTAAGATTTGATAGGTTCTCCTTTTGTACTCTTGCAAAACCTTTCTAGGATGCAAGAAGCCAGTGTTTCTTTATATTCTTTTGCCAGCGCTTTTGTGAAGCAGTTACAGTTCCCAAAATAAGAATTATTTGTTCATTCATTTGTTCTTGGTAGTGTGATGTCTTTTGCACAAACACTACCTTTTGTCACTCTTCAGTTGTAGTTTATCAGTAAAGAAACACTGAATATTTTTGTTTTTCCAGAGCCTAGCCAAAGTTTATCTCCTTTAATTTTTGATGCTTGATTTATTTTTTTAATTAATATGTTGATTTATGAAATTTCATAAATAGTAAAAATTCTGCATTATTATAAATATTTTACTCCTAGCACTATATGAAAAATATCAATAACATGTTGTTTCTGAGACGCTTTCCCCACAACAAATAACCCACCAAATGTAAGTGTGCATGCATTTACTGCCAGTTCCAAAAAGCTACTTAATATAAGCCACTTTTAATAATTAAAAAAAAATTATTTTGCCAGAAGTAGTTACACAGACCTGTAATCCCAGGCATTCAGGAGGCTGAAACAGAAAGGTTCCGAGTTTTGAGTCATCCTGGACAATTAATTTAGGAAGACCCTGTCTCAAAGTAAAATTTTTTAAAAAGCTGGGGATGTAGCTCACTGGAAAAATACGTGCCTACCATGTGTGACCCCTGGGCTCAATACCCAGCACCATAAAAAAAAAATCTCCAGGTAGACTTCAATTTTCTATCCACATAACACCGAAAGATATTGGAAAAGCAAATCCTACCAGATGAATTCTCTTAGATAATCTCAAATGGTACCAAAGTGGTTTCATTACTTTAGTCATTCATTTGAGGATACTGTTGAATACTTACTCTGTGCTAAGTACTATTCTAGGCAAGCAAGATGGACAAAGATCCCTGCCCTTATAGAGCTTACAATCCAGCCTGGAAGGCCTGTAGAGCACAGAAGGGCTTTGGCTTTTACTCTTAATATAGGGAAACTTTGTAGGGTTTTGAACAGAGAAGAAATACCCTGGGCACTGAGAGGGCAGAGACTTGTGTTTCTCAGCTCTGTATCCTACGAACTGGCATAGTTCCTAGTTCATAAAAGTGTTAAAGGGTGTTAATAGCGTGATGCTTTTTAGCGATCAATACTTATTCTAGATTAGATAACAGTCTTGTTAGATTGAAGGAAAAGAATTGTCCAGTTGCTTTTGTACTATTAGTTTGGGAATCATTAAAATTTCAAAATTTTTGAATCAAAAGAGTAACTACCAAGTAACACAATCACACGCATACACAGTTTCATCAGTGAGCTATTCATGTTTACCACTAACACTTGATGGCTGGTTTATGTAGTCACTAATTTAGCTAAAGCCTTCTAGAATACACCATGCGATCCAACTGCATTTTTCCTCATTTTACTTTATAAATTAAATTTGGTGTTTGGGGTATTTTGGTTTTCATTAGACATCATTTGACGATCACTCAGGTCAGACACATGCTGAAGTGCCTCTAAACAGATATGCCATGTACATATAAAGCCATGAACAGTCATTTATTTTTTCACTTGAAAAATTGAGAGTTGCTATGTCATTACCTGAATGAAGAGTTTTCAAGAGAATTATTATTATCTGACCTACTCCCAAAAGCTATGGCTTTTCTCACTCGAGAAGCAGAATAGTGTTTCCCCCTTTTGCAATCATTTTTGCTTTTTTCCCCTCTGTGGTCTAACATATTCCCAGCATATCATTATCATGTCGCTGCCTTTCCCACCGCATTTTTATGCGGGATCTCTGAAAGCTTCATCCATTCCCATGTGGCAGACATTGCTCTCCTGTGTCAAGTTCAGGTGTAAGCACCTACTTCCAGCCCTTCAGATATGAGGGCTCTTCCATGTGTCTGCCCCACCACAGCCCCTCCATATATAATTATGCCGTGTATCATCAGCGCTTCTGCCTTTTCCTTTCTGGTTTTTGTGTGTTCGAGAAGCAAAAGAATGTATCTTTATCTCGGGCTCCCTCTGCTGTTCAACACTGTTATTTATGGACAAATTGGTACAGATTTAAAAGTTTGATGTTTATCAGTAGCTGTTATGGGATTAGTTTGGTTTTGGTGGGAGATATTTAGCAGCCACAGGTAGGTTGAATGTACATTGTAAACTGACAACTTTCCTCAGTATCACATCTTCCCATCCACCCTCTCAAGAGAAATGGCAATCGATTCAGCTTGATAAACATTTTTAAAAGGTCATCTAAAGTTGCAGGTATAAGGACTAAAGTTAAAATCAGTTTTAGTACAAATGGCATCAGTGCTAAACTTAGTCACCATCTGTTAGATTTATCAAAGAAAGGATTCTTAGCCAGGTGTGTGGTGTACACGTGGATCCCAGCACTCTTTTAGGTTGAAGCAGGAGGATGGCAAATCTGAGCCCTACTTAAGCAACTTAGTGAGACCTTGTGTTAAAATTTTAAAAAGGGCTGTGATGTAGCTCAGCAAGAAAGCATTGGTTTCAATCCCTAGTATGAGAGAGACAGACAGACAGACAGAGACAGAGAGAGACAGAGACAGAGAGACAGAGTGAGACAAAGAGACACAGAGAGAGATAGAGAGAGAAGGAAGGAGGGAGGGAGAGAGTGAAGAAAAGAAAAGGAAAGGAAAGAAAAGAAAAGAAAAGAAAAGAAAAGAAAAGAAAAGAAAAGAAAAGAAAGAAAAGAAAGGAAAAGGAGGATTGATTCTCCTAGGTCACAGTATAGACTTGACTCTCACTAGAGGACGTATCCACTCGTCCACAACTGTCATTTGAGTAGCCAACAATTTTTTTGAAGAAATAAACAGATTCTCCCTTTAGAAATTGTTAGAATTTGAGCATGGGTCTTATCCAGTGAAACCAGCATTAGTGTTCAGAGTGGCCCAGCAGTGAATCTGGGTGCCCCAAGTTCTTTTCTGGAATGCCCCGTCCTGTGAGACTGGTCTTTGCCACAAGCAACGGTGAGTTCTACCTACAGGAGACCTGGAATGGTAGCTGTTCACGTGGATCAGTGGTTTGTCCTTGATTCTTCTTTTTGCCTTCTTATTAAACACTAGACTGGGAAGCTCGGATTGACAGCCATGGGCGGGTCTTTTATGTGGACCATGTGAACCGTACGACCACCTGGCAGCGCCCCACGGCGGCGGCCACCCCGGATGGGATGAGGAGATCCGGCTCAGTCCAGCAGATGGAGCAACTCAACAGGCGGTTGGTGATCAGTATGCAATGAGCGCCTCTGAACCTAAAGACACCCGCACTTTTCTGCCCAGTGAGCAGTCAAGGGAAATAATTAGGTTCCTTAAGAACCTGTTCATAGTGAGTACTCAGAAAGCGAGAGTTAGAGTAAGGTGGCAGAAGACACGTGGAGCTTGAGTGTCATTTAAAATAGGGGGTCTCATGGACTTATTGGCCCAGTCTGGAAAACAGGAGTTCATAGCCACAGCCTCCTTCCCAGTGTCTTCAGCAAGAGTGTTAATGTCCCACAGACCCTCCGGAAATGGTGTCCTAATTACACATGGATGTGCACTTTCCTGCCATACTTACCCACATCCATCATAAAGTTCTCAATGGGTACAGACTTCAGAACAATTCAGCACATTCCAAGGATAGATTCCATAAGAATACTAAAAACTGGCTGCAGAAAAAGCTGTCTCATAAACCATTCTGTTGGTCTCATAATTGTAATGCACTCATACATATTTCTTCAAAACCCTTCACCTCAGAAAAAGAAATGTTCACAAACATCCTTGACATGAGGTGCATTGGCAAGCTCCCGTAATCCCTGCTACTTGGGAGGTTGAGGCAGAAGGATGGAGTGTTTGAGGCCAGCCGGCACAATATATGAGACCCTATGTCATAAAGATTTACTGTTTTTTTGAGAATTGTTGTCTTTAAAAACTAGACCCTTACTATTGAATTTTCAAATATATCATTATAACATAAAATGAAGCCATAAGCCATGTATCACCCATGTTTCAGCTAGAAGAGAGCAGTATGTCCACCATCTTGTTCCCAGACGCCAGGGTAGTGGCTTTCGGATGCTTTTAGTTGCCAGGAATGCAAGCAGAAAGCTTGCTGCAGTTGTAATTGCATCAATGTGCAGTCTTGGGTCTGTCCCATATGAAGCTAAAGGAAAAGTTGAAAGAGGACATAAAGAATAAAGTACTGGGCTTGAGGGGCACCTGTTGATAGCAAAAGCCTTTGAAACCCAGCTGTATCAGCTGGGGGAGGGAAAGTAGACTATTTAGTCCTATTGAAAACACGTGCAGACAAAAAATTCAACTTCCTCTTACTATTGTACACAAAGGAACGTGTTTTAGGTAAGAGTCACCAGAACATTTCTTTCTTGGTTGAGCATTTGGAAGATATTTGCTTTCCATTTTTCTCCATCCCTGTCTAAGTCGTTAATGAGAACCATGAAGGATTTTCATTAGCATAATATCTCTGCAGTCATTCACACTGAAACAAAGCACTTATAGGGATGAGCTTGTGATAACCTAGTTTTACTAAGCATGGGTGCACACAAAAATCCATGAACGGTACTTTCACGGTGACTGCAATAAAACACTTGCAATTAAAAATGTAGAGGACACAGCAAGCTCGTTTTACAGAGACCCTATTGTGCTTCCATAGGCAAAAGTTAGCCTGAGAACTGTCCTGTCAAAATAGATGATCTGAAATTGTTTAGCTGGCTGAGAAAGCATTATCAGGTGGTATGCCCAAGAGGCATTGTTTGAATACTAAATGCTAAACATATCAACAGTAAATAAAACACACTATAAATCTGAAGCAGAAGAAAACACTTCCTTTAGGATTTTTGTCCTAGGTATAAAAATCCATAAAAGTTCATAATATTCAGGTTGTAGAGCATAAAATTTAGGCCAAAGCAGCTGGACATGGTGGCACTCACCTGTAATCCCAGCACTCTGGAAGGCTGAGGCAGGAGCATCCAGCCTGGGAAACTTAGTGACTTAGTTTGGACACAGCCTAGCAACTTAGGGACTTAGCAAGACCCTGTCTCTTTCTCTGGAGGTCCTGGATTCAATCTCCAGTATGCAAGGGAGGGACTTTGGCCAAATTCAACTGGAACCAGACCTCTCAAGAAGTTTTGCAGCTTTTCATATATCACTTCCTGTGCCCACCAGTGGGACTTTCCACTGGAGGAGCAGTCAGACTTTGCCAAATAAGAAGCCGTATTTATAGTTGTTCCAAACAGAATAAAGAGAAAAGGAATTTAGCAACTTGAGAAAGTACTTATTCTTGTGGAAAAGCCTACCTAGAGAGGGTCAGGTAACCTTCAGTGAAGAATCCAGGATTTTTAGTATTTCTCTGAACCTATTGCCTTCAAGCATTTAACGTTTTCTGTGACTTGGCATAATAAGAGCAGCCGCAGACAGCATCCAACCAGTCCTTTGTCTAGCTCACCTGCAGTCACCTCGGAATCATTTTCTGATAACCAGCAGTGATCAGGAGAAATGTACAGGGGTCACTGTCTCTCTGCAAAACTGAAGTATGTCTTGTTGTTGCAAGAAGAACTTTCCCCTGAATCCCTGTGATTGTAACGATCAGATACACTGGTGCCGAGAAATGCAGAGGGCCCGCAGGCATGTGAGCTCTTGTCACCTGCAGGGCCCACAGTCAGACTCAGCCACTGTGCAAACGTGGCAGCCCTCCCGAGCCTTTGTGGCTTGACCATAGGCTCCCACCCTGGGGAGTCCCTCACTGCCTGCCTCCCACCTGGGGCCCATCTCCTCACCCAGCAGCCAGACGTGGACATCGTGTGCCCTGTGACACCTCCCAGAATCCTCCACAGGAGCCGAGGCAGGGGCTGCTTCCTCCATGGCCACATGAACGCGCAGGTCTCTAGCTCACACCTTACCTTCCTGCCCTGTTTTCCTTTCTGCCCTTCCTGTTACCTAACATGACACTGAACTACAACAGGGCTTTGTACAAGGCACTTCCCTGAGTTAGTTCCTATACTTTTGCAATACCCAGAAGGAATAACTCTACTTTCACATACATAGAGTGAACCAGCAGAAAACATAAATATGCATTCTCATTTTAAATAACCAAGTAAAGTTGATTTTTCTATTCCTCATATAAAATTATAGTAAGGGGGATAAAAATTTTAAATAGTAAAAAATGATCTAGAACCCCAAGGATTAAGCTCTTTAAAAAAGATAACCATTTTAAATTGCCATATGCACGCACAACTCTCACAGAGTTGTAATAGTAAAATATAGTTATCATTTTTCACTTACTACACTATTTTTATGTCTTTTATATTGCTGAATAGTCTTCACATTGGGGGTTGGGGATTTAGCTCAGTGGCACAGTGCCTGCCTGGCACGCAAGGTCATGAGTTCGATTCCTGATACTGGAAAAAAAAAAACACAAAACAAAACAAAATGGTCTTCACATTGATGTTTAAATGCTTACAGGTATCTCACTAAATGGCCTTAATTTCATTTCTGACTTGTTGAAAGTTTTCTATATTGCTTTTATCACTGTATTTTATTTGGCCACCAAGGGCATTGTTACACACTAAGAGCACCTTACAGTACAGCATTCCCTGGGATTCTGTTCCCTGAAGAGCAGGCCCAGGGAGATAAACATGGTTTAGTTATCTAATACCAGTGCCTGTTTACTAACATGGTCTTGGGTTCACTCTGCCAACAGTAACTTCACTTCCATCTCATCATTTTTCTTTTTGCTGACTTAGGAGGTACCCCTGGTATTTTGTTTGTTTGTTTCTGTTTTTCTTCTGGTACCAGGAATAGAACTCACGACCTTGCACTTGCCAGGCAGGTGCCGTGCCGCTGAGCTAAATCCCCAGCCCCACCCCTAGTATTTTGGAACTTACTTCTTGGAATGTCAACATTTTCCCTTAATATTTCCTTTAAAAACTGTAGTTATTCCCATGTGAATTGTCCGTCTTTAGGTTTTTATTTGGGGTGTGGTTTTAAATTAAATTGTGTGTGTCTCTATTTACAAATTATGTATTTCAGCTTTTTTTTTTTACCAATTTCTCTATTAATGGACTATTATCATTTCCCTATTGATGTACTGCAATTAATGTTTAACCTTTTGCTGCAAATCAACCTTTTGCTGCAGAGAGGAGGAACGGAAGGAGGGAGGGAGAGAGAGACGACATTCACAAATGATTCTTGATGAAATAGAAGACTTCTTCCTCTTTCTTTTTTTTACCAACTCTACGTGCCCTGCTTCCCCCAAACTGCCCCTAAGCTTCAGCAAAGATCAAGAATGGGGTCTAATACCAGGATTTGAGACATTTTATTGATTTAACAAAGTATGAGTTAGCCAGGGTCCAGCTGAGGATATATGAAGGAGGTTGTGACCTTGCTGACATTTACATTTTCAAGTAAGATCATAATTACTCATCAGATTCCCTGCTGTGGTCATTACACTTTGGGAAGAAATAGAGAGATTACAACTTGATCTTTGTCTAAGCCCTATTCCAGGTGTTCATTGTTGAGTAACAAACTTCCCTACACACAGCAGCATAAATCAACCACTCATTTATTACAATTGTTATCAATATTTCTCATGGTTCACTGGGCCCAGCTAGGCATTGTCTCTCAGCTTATCTCATGGTTGCAATTAGGATGACTGGGGCCAGAGGCGATGTATTTGGAGGTGGATGTTGGTTGTTGGCTAAAGTGTCTAGTTCTGACTGTCACCATGACAGTTCTCTAGCAGGTGGTCTGGGGACCACACTGAGGAAACCTTCTGCTGTAAGGTCAAGGAAAGAGTGCGATGCTGGTCTTAGAAACCTGCCCTAATAGACTCACATCTGTGCAGCTCTGTTTGTCCCCCTCACTTGACCTGACACTTCACTTTCCTCTTCCACCTTCTTCCTTCCCCCCTTCATTGCTTTCCTGAGCACAAGAACCATCTAAGCAAAATTTTCCTGGACATCGTAACTGATAGGAGCTCCAGGACTTCCAAATCAATGTGTCTAATTCCGTCCAAAATCTCGCCTCCTCGTGGATCCGTCCTCCTACCTACTGTCCTCCAGCCTGGTCTAAGCAAAAGCCTTGAACTTCATAATTGTCTCTTCCCTTCTTTTCAATGCCAATATCTATCAAGGCCCCTAATACTATTAGGTCTGCTGGTAAAAATCTTACAGATACTGCTACCAAATATATCTCGAAATGGCCCTTTCACCCATCCCTGCTGTGCCTTCAGGCAAGGGAAACCTGAGTCCTGGTCCTATCATTCTGGGAAGCTGAGAGCCTTTAGGCAAAACAGAACTCATATGGGGAGAGCAAAGAGGCTTCTTGGAATGAGGGAGATAGGGTGTAGCAAAGAGAAAATAGATGGCTGGACCTCTGTCTACAAGATAACTGATGAGCAGACAGAGAGGGCAGAGAGGTGTAGGAATGTTCTGAGAATCCTGTTGGCAGACACCCCTGACCTAAGAATTCTTGCAGTATGTAGGTGTTTCCCTTCCACCAGCAGCTCCACCCAACATCCCTGCCTGGACTGGCCATTAGCACCTCCAGCCAAGACTGTCACAGTAGCCTCCACACCATTCTTCCTGACCCAGGCTCTTCTCCATTCGTCCTCCACACCAGTGTGTCGGCTTATCATTCTCAGGGTGAACCTGGCACTGTCTCTTTTCCTTAGCAGCAGCCCTTCACTGAGTGTCAACACCTGGACCTGCGCCATCAAGATCACCTGGGAATGGGTGCACTGCAGATTTCAGAAGTACAGATTCTTTGGCCTGACCCCACATCGGCCAAATCACAGACTCTGGTGTGGGGTCTGGGATTCTGTCTCAGAACACGTCCTTCGATGACTCTGATGCTGCTCAGGTTGGGAATCCTGGGCTCACTCTGCCCCTGGGACACACTCTGGTTGTCCTCTGCCTAATTCCCACTTCCCAGTGCCCATGCATCTCATGCTACCCCTGAGCTTCTCGGAACTTTCCCAGGGCACTCTACTTGCATACATGTTTTCTCTTCTGAAAATGTTTTTTCCAGACAAACATCCTGATGAGTTTGCCCTCTGACTTCACAATGTATCTGCCTTCTGGTATCTGTCTTCTTGTGTCTACTTTGCCTGTGTTCCCACAGGTCTCTGCATGTCTAGGACAGACTTTCTCTTAGCTAGAGTTGTTTATATATCACTTCCCCTCTTTGCTCAATTTCAACAGAGTGTTTTCCAAGGTCAGTGGCATATTCTAATCTTCTCTTTGATCTGAAAGTCTAGCTGAGAGCCTACGCACAGTAGAAGGGTTAGTATCTAGTACCTGCTAGGATGACGGACTGGTTAAACCACCTGACTTGATCCCCAACTTAGAAAAAACAATGAACCTTCAAATAAGCAGCTAATATTTTGTCTGCCAGTATGCTTTTAGGTGTAATATTTCCACAACTTCCACCCAACCATGTCAATTACCCATCAAATAAAAATGTGAGTAGAACAACTATTCAAATTTGTGCACTTACTACAATAATGTAGAGGTAATTCCGTACACCTGGGTTGTAACATTTTAATTCACTCCTCACACTCTGATTTCAGAGTTAGTCTGATTTTGTCTAATGCAGGGCACAAGCTATTTTGCTATTTTACATGATCAGTTTTTATTTGTGTTGATTTTTTAAAGATCACTATACTCAAAACTCATTGTAGCTTACAAAATAGAAAGAAGTCAAATAATCCAGAAATACATGTCCTGCTAATTACTTTGGTTGTCTCTTGAGAATTGAAAGCATTTCTTTCCTGAAATTCAAGACAGTTCTTTACCGATTTCCCCAATTGCCTGATTCAGAGCATCTGCTTCCAAGAAGCAAACAGATGAAAATTAACTCGTGTTTTCCATTTTTCTAATGCAAAGGTATCAAAATATTCAGCGAACCATTGCAACAGAGAGGCCTGAGGAAGACTCTACCAGCCAAAGCTGTGAGCAAGTCCCAGCCGGAGGAGGTGGAGGTGGAGGGAGTGACTCAGAGGCTGAATCTTTCCAGTCAAGCTTAGGTATTGGAGGAGGGATCCCTAGACACCAGTGATGGCATCTGATGACTATGTGACAGAAGTGTGCAGTCCCCTTACCCTGGTCTATGGATAATGATGCACTACAGTAAAGAGCAACAAATGGGTAGAGGGCCAGGGTGGAGGAAAAAAGGTGTGCTGCCCACAAGGTAAAGCAGACAACAGAGCTTCCTGTCCGCTATGAAACTTGGAAGGAGATGCGGAGGAATGCAACGCTATTAACACCATGGCCTGAGGGTCTGGAGACAGGGAAGCAGATGATTCTGGGATGAGACTGACTTTGCTATGATGCCTGTACATCAAGGAAGCTTATACAGTGGCCTCATCATGTGTTGCTAAGTTCATGTATCTGTTGGTTTCCTAAGGATTTTCCAGTCATTAATAAACTTGTGATAAACATGCACACTCTATTTCAAAGGAACACTAGGAATAATTACCTGTTTGCATGGAGAATAAAACTCAGTTCTCTCAAAGGAAGAACTGGGGGACAAAGAGGTTTTCCAGGGTACTCTGAGTGTGTGCACTGTCCAAGAGCATTTTTTTGCCTGCTACAGGACACATCCACCCAGGGCCTACTTTTCCCAGTTTTCCTCATTTTTATTTCTTTGACTGTCCTGGAGTAGAACCCAAGGATATTCAAAATGCATGTGATTAGATTCTATTTTCTGTACCATATAAGATTATCACAGTGACAACTTGATGATACACTTTCTCCTTGAATTATGTGAAGGCAAATTTATTTGTTCACTCTAAGCAAGCAGACATTGTGATCCCCATCCTGCTGGGTCTTAGGCGGCTATGGCAAGGTGGACACTGGACAGTTCTGTGTGAGCTCTTAAATGCACATACTCAGTTCCACCAACAGTTTTAATTACCACCATTCTATTCATTTTTCTAGACAGACTGATTAAACTATTAGTCTTCTTCTGTTATTAATTTCTTCCTTTAGTCTCCTGAGAGATATATGCTATCATGGTTGAGCAATCAGAAACATGGAGAAAAAAGGAACAGAAAATTGATTTCTGAGTTTGCTATTGAATCACTTGGCATTTACTGTGTAATAAGTTGTGTGGGTCCACTTTCTATCTTTGTCATAAAACATCTGTGAATATCAACTCAAAGAAGGAGAGATTTATTTTGGTTAAGGGCTTCAGAAGTTTCCATGCATGTGACCTGCCTTACAACTTTAGGCCAGTGGTGAGGCAGAAACATCAGGGCAGAAGGGTGTGGTAAAGAAAAGCTGCTCACCGCTTTCAGGATGCAGAACAACCGGGGACCACACATAGTCCCCAAGGTCATATCCCCATGTCACACTCCCATAGTGCCATCTGATTATGATCTCATCCATGGAGATCTCATCCCAACAGAGACTGAACCTTCAACACCATAAGCTTTGACAGGAGGAGCATTGTAGATAACAACTACAACACAAACTCTGGCTCTGCAGGTTGACAGTGTGAGCTGAGCTCAGCTGGCTGGGTCTCAGGATGCCACAGGGCTCCGTGGTAGGATGTCCAAGTAGGATGTCCTGTATTGACTGTGGGCTGGCAGATCTGAGCCTGCCCCAGTTGGGTGGCTGTTCCTGCTTCCTGTGGCTTCACATCTCTCAACAGACCCTCCAAGCTTGTTTTCATAGTCATAGCAAAGATACAAGAAAGACACACAGGCCTCCTTAAGCCTTCACTCAGAACTGACAGTTTGCCATTTCTGCCACATACTCCATGTCGGAGCAGACCACAAGACCATCCACGGTTCAGCAAGAGGGAGAAATGCAAAGTTCCATTACAGAGGGGTGTGATACAGGGAGGGAAAAATTATGAGCCTTTCTGCAATCACTGCTAACCATGGCTAGCAACTTGTAACAAAAATAAGAAAAAAAGTCCCTGGACCTAACAGTCTCCTCTAAGGCAGGAGATATTAGAGGATTCAAGCTTAACTGAATTTATACAGGAGTCCTAGGAGAAAATAATGATTTTTTTTTTTTAACCTTTTCTTTTTGGTACTGGGAATCAAACTCAGGACCTTGGGCTTGCCAGGCAGGCGCTTGTGCCACTGAGCTATATCCCAGGCCTGAAAATAATGATTCTTAACTGACTTGTAGAAAGTGATACAGGGTGAGAGCATCTCTGATTCAAAAATCCCAAATCCAGATGCTCTGAAGCCAAAATTAATAAAGATACCATATAAAATTACCTTCAGGCTCTGTGTGTAAGGTATATTTGAAACATAAAGGAGTTTCAGGTTAAGATTTGGGTTCCATCTTCAAAACATCTCATTATGCATCTGCAAATATTTCAGAATCTGAAAAAGTTCAAAAAACTTCTGGTCCCAAGCATTCTGGTGGGAAGGAAAATGCTATACAGTGTTACCTTGGTTCACGAATGCATTTGTTTGTGAACAGTTTGGTTCACAAGCAGAAGCATGTTGCAAAATTTTGGTTCTGTTTGGAAACGCTGCCTTGAGTATTGAACATGACCACAGCCGTCTTTCCCACATGGACACGAATATGGTTATCTTTTCCAGAATCATGGAATAAATTCATCTCATGAACCAAGGTACCACTGTACCACGTTTGAAATGAATTCTGTATTCTGTTTCTTTGCTCTACTTTTTCCAGATCTGAGAAGAGAAGGGTCACTTTCTCCCGTGAATTCACAAAAAATCACCTTGTTGCTGCAGTCCCCCGCTGTGAAGTTCATCACCAACCCCGAATTCTTCACCGTGTTGCATGCCAATTACGTGAGTGTTCAAGACAGAGAGGGGGCCTGACCTGGCTCTATCGAGACCTAAAAAAAGATTTTTAATGTCACTTGATATTTAAAGCGCATCGATTTTTATCATGTGCAAAGGGGAGAAAAGACAGTTCAGTCTACTTTTCTCACTATCTTCCCATCCCCTCAAAAGCAAAAGGCTAGATTTGGAAATACTGTTGCCTCTTGAGGTTTTTGTTAGCCTTAAATGCACTGGAAACAAATACATGTTTTTATTGTTAAAATTTTTCAAGTGGAGTCTTTGTTCTTGTTACTGTTTTTTGTTTTTTTTGTTTTTTTGGTTTTTTTTTTTTTGTCCTTAGGATTGAACCCAGGACCTTTGCACTGAACTACATACCTATTCATTTATTTTCATTTTTTCCACATTTTTATTAGTGTATATTGGTTATACAAATTACCACTATTTTATTTGGGCAGATTTGTACTTGCACATAACATACCTTAATCATCCCCTTTGCCCTCTTTTTTATTAAAATTTTAAAAGAGCAAGATTATGGAGTGATCAGATTCCCTTCAGCCTAAGTCATCTTATAAAATAATTTGCACTATAGAAAGTTTAAAATATGCTTGGTAACTAGATTTTCTCTTCATACAATTTTTTAAATACCTTGCTGACCTTCGATTTGATGTGATTTCGCATATGTGTTTTTTTCATTACTTTTTGGGGGGTATTGACACAATATCACTATATGCTTTAGTTTTCCATTCGACAAATACTATACTTTCTGCTGCTCAGACACAGATCTGGTGCTGGAGTCACAAGGACGGATTAGAGTGACAGCTAAACAGCAGGTGGCTGTTTGTGATAATGTGATAGGACAGAGCCCAAGCCGAGACAGGGGAGGGGAGCATTGGGGAGCAGAGGTGACAGCTGTTGAGTCTTGCAAGAGAGCAAGAAGTCTGGGGCAGAGGGACGGTGTGATGGCAAGGATGCAGCTGGGAAGTGCCCCTGAGGCTGGAGGGTAAGTGGCTGCAGATGGAGAAAGGATTGGAAGATCGGCAGCAGACACTTTGTAAACCAGGTGGAGGAGCCTGGATGGACTTTAGTGGGCAGCAGGAACCCACTCAGTCTTAGACACTGGGGCGGCATAAACAGGAAGTCTCATGAAGCGTTGTCTCTGCAGAATGTGGGGAGCCCAGACCTAGAGGCTGATTCAGCGGCTCAGTTGAGAGATGACCTGAGGAAGGGGCTGGGAGCATGGCAGGCTGCGTGGCAGGCACGGCAGGCATGGCAGGGATGGCTCAAAATATCCAGAGAGATCTCTCATGGAATCCATGGTGTTTGGTCACAGGTGGTAGAAGCTGAAGATTCAGGAAAGATCCAGTAGTATCTGCTTTAAGCACCTGACTTAGGTGGGAATTCCAGTAGGCAGGAAGCGCAGGGCCTCAGTGAGATGACAGAGAAGGAGGTAGACACTTGCTCAGGCTCAGAACAGCTCCTGGCGTGCAGTGGGGAGGTACCAAGAAGAACCAAGTGTGGCCCATGCCCTACAGTATGCACTGGACACCAGGTGGGCACTGGGACAAGTGGAACCCCTGGGCCAGCTCTCCCAGGCTTCCGTAGTCTGCCTGTCACAACCACTCATGGGCGCAGAAGCGTGAGTGCATGCACACACCCTGTGTGTCATAATATTGTCATTTGACACATTTGTTTTGTTTTGTTTTGTTTTTATTTTTCTTCCGGTACCAGAAATCGAACTGACGACCTCGCGCTTGCCAGGCAGGCACTGTGCCGCTGAGCTAAATCCCCAGCCCCTCATTTAACACATTTAAATACACCTAAAACCTTTACCTTCTCAGGCCCTAATCTTGCCCCTGCACAAGGTTATACATAGGTTTTTGAGGAGTACCAGAACTTTGAAGTTCAGTCTTCAATTCCCACGGACCCTGAGGTGCTACCCTGTGTTAGACCGGAAGGCGGAGCTGTGTAATCAGAGAAGGAGAGAGGGAGAGAGAGCTCAAGAGAGTGAAATGCAGCTAGGACTGGGCAGGAAGGTACAGAGATCCACAGGGCCAGGAGTGCCCGAGGCTGATGAGCAGTCAGGTCAAACTGGGGTGGCAAATAGGTCCACGTGTGTACATTTACTTCTTGAGCAAGCTCTCTCCTTCTAAGGCCTCTACCTTAAGGTCACAATAAATCACAACAGCAGTCATGTTTAGATCTTGTTAAAGTGCTCCACATGCTCTTAATCTGTATTTTTCCTCATTTCCCCCTCTGCCCCTCCTCCACCTCACCCATCCCTCTCAGAGTGCCTACCGAGTCTTTACCAGTAGCACCTGCTTAAAGCACATGATCCTGAAAGTCCGTCGAGATGCACGCAATTTTGAACGCTACCAGCACAACCGGGATTTGGTGAATTTCATCAACATGTTTGCGGACACTCGATTAGAGCTGCCCCGGGGCTGGGAGATCAAGACAGATCAGCAGGGAAAGGTGAGTTTGATGGACGGGTAGGGCCTTCATCAGATGCTCTAGTTCACCAAGAAGAAGACCGGGGAGAAACCAAGGAGAGTTAAGGGAAAGTCTGTGTGTCTGCAAGATGTGCTATTGGCTGCCAGAAAGAAGAGGGCAATGAATGTCGACTTAGGGCTGTATCAACCTTTATCAACTCTAGAGTTGGGCAGAAGGCCTGTCCTGTGCATTATGGGATGGTTAACAGCATGCCTAGCTGCCTACCAGAGGCTGACAACATGGTTATCTCTCCCGTGGGGGACAAAATCATGCTTAGTTGAAGATTGCTGTCTACACCATTTTAAGCTTAGATTTAAAACATTAAGCCAGCTTCTTCTCAGTGCGCTTTTGACTGTATTGTCTCCTTCAATAGCTAACTCTTGGGATAGAATTATTGGTTCAGTGGGTCTGGCATTACTGCACTTTGTGATCTCACTAGTAAGATTTCAGTTCTCAGGGGCTGGGGATTTAGCTCAGCGGCAAAAGCGCCTGCCTGGCAAGCGCAAGGTCGTGAGTTCGGTTCCCGGTACCGGAGAAAAAACAAAAACAAAAACAAACAAAGATTTCAGTTCTTAAAATGACCTGCCCAGTAGGTGTAGCTGTGCTGAGCTAGTGCTGTGCTCCTGGCCTGCTTGCCTCTGTGTGACTATAGCACATTGTCCTTCCCAGCAATGCTCTAGGAGTCTAGTTGAGTCCACCTGAATGAGATTTTCTCTTACTCAGCATAAGTCTCAATGTATGAAAAGGACAGTCCTGTAAATTTACTAAAGGATGGTCCCTGTGTAACCTTTGATGGACTTTGCCAGAAAGAATCCCTCCTTCTTTTATGGTCAAAGGAACAGGAAGCTTGGCCAACAGCCTTGTCCCTCAGCGGAAGGAGCTGTCCACTGCAGCTTCCGTCATGCAGACTGTATTTCCCAGAGGCAGCTAATGGGGCATCATTGTCCCCTGGGAGCCACAAATCCTGCTTCCATAAACCACTTAGCATCCCTGAGAACCAGAAATATCCAGAGTGTGTGAGGAAAGAAGGGGCCGCTGATAATTAGCAAGTCTGTTACTGAAATGATTTTCCAAGACCTGCTCCTCTGGAGTTGGTGGTGAATTGCCAAGATGGGGATGTGCCTATGTAACAGAAAAGCCACCACAGCAAGAAACAAGTGGGAGCTGCTTTGGGGGCTGTGTCCTTCCCTGGGAAAATGACAGTGACTTGTACTGTGAGGACTTACGGCCCGTGTAAAGCCTGACCAAGCACAGAGAGTGGAGGAGCCTCCTGTTAGAGCCAGAGCACACCTACCTCACCTCATTAGTCTTCAGGAGCCATGCTGACATGCAGTGTTTAACTAGGATGCCAAGAGGACACTAATGAACCAGTGAACAAGATAGCAGTGTTTATTATACAAAAAGCGCATGCTAATGTGAGCCTGCTTTGTCTTGGATTTCCATGACTGCAACTCCTGTACTGGGACACAGCAGAATGACAAGGAGGCCTCCAAGTGCAATGAGCTGTGGTTCTCCATGGTGCACAGCAGATAAATCTGTCACCACTTGGTCATCGCACTAACAGAGGCCACAGTGGCTGAGTCATGCACTAAGAGTTTGATTCCACTTCAGCATATGAATTAGAGAACTTCCAATGAGAGAAAATTTTCCCTAAAGTTGCACTTAGTGAAATGTATCATGTGCAAACCAAAGAAAAATCTGAATTTAAATGGAGAACACTCAAGTTTTACTTTCAGTTTTGATAGAAACTAGCCATGTGACTGTACACACACACAAAATGGTTTTACCAGTTGCTTATTAGTTGGACACACACATACTTATAATGGGCAGCCAGAATTTCCAAGGCGTACCATGTACTGCACTGCTGAAGTTTTAGCCTTAAATTTTGACATGTATGATCACAGTTATTGGGTGGTCAGAGAGAAACAGTGGAGCATCACAGGAAAAAGGAGCAGGCCCGTGTACACGGGCTGTTCCCTCGTTTCAAACAGATCACCCTGGGCAAGTCCTTTTACTTCTCCAAGCCTTGCTTTGTTCATCATACAAAAGCAGTAATGCCTTCCTTCCCTTCATGACTTTATAATCAGTTGTAAAGAATAAATAAGGTGAAAATACTACGGCAGATTAGCAGTATCTGCTAGTCTTCTTATTATTCCTGTAGTAAATGTCTACAAAAAAATATGAGAAAAGTAAAAATAATCGCATTGTCAAAGCACATTGATAATGGAACAGTTGGGAAAAACATTTTTGGACTATTCTAACTCAGCTGTCTAAGCTGGGAAGAATGTGTTCTATAGGAGTCCAGGAGTTAGAACACCACATTCACCAACCATTGGAGTGATGTGGGTCACTGCGCTACAGACAACTTCACAGCTCCCAGACCAGGTTCCATAATAACCCAAATCATCTAGCCAGTCTTCTTGCTTTATCTACCTGTTGAGAGATTCCGGCCTTTCCTTTCACTGTGTACCATGCCAGAAAGTAAAATGGTGGGGCCAGAACTGTTAGGTACATCTGAATGCGCAGTCATTCTCGCAAAGGGAAACAGGATGACTTTGGAGCTGTGGCCCTCCAGGAAGACTGGAGCAAAGTCCAAAATGGCAGCTCACTTCTTTATCATGTTAAAAATCTAAGAAAGGAGGAGACAGCCTTTGCCCAACTTTGGTGGGGACTCTCTGTGGGTCTCAGGTCTGGGCCAAGGGAAAGAGTTACCATCCAGGGAGATGGCAGGGACTCTGGCCCCATGGGTCCTGCTGTGTGACAAGGATGGGACTGAGGGGTCTATAGAGGTGCTGCTACATCAAGAAAGCCACATCTTGTTCTGAGGAAAAGTATACTTTTCTTCAGAAAATGCAAGTTTTGAAGATATCTGCTCATCATCCACAAAATGACACATGACTTCTATTAAGCAACAGGAACAGGCCATGGGCTGAAAACAAGCTGAGAAGAAGCAGACAGATGAAGGGCATGAAAATAAGCTTCTTTAAGTGAACATCAGAGAAGTAAACAGAACAGAATGGATGCTATGGGAAATCAAATCACTGATGGAACCTATGATGGACAAAACAGCATTCAAAGTAGAAAGAAGGGACCAGATTTCAGTCAATGAAAGAAGAGGGATTGCAGAGCTCTCCTAAAACAAAACGTCTTACCTTGTCTATGAGGCCCTCCCAACTACCAAGTTAACTAACAACCTCCTTAAATCCCTCACCCATGTAGTGTGTAGTGTGTGTTTTCTCCTTCTACAGACAGGGCCTTAAGCTCCTTGAAAGCAAAAGTCTTTGCTTTGCTCATTGATAAAATCCCAGAATAGTGCCCAACACCATAGCTGATACTCAATATATCTGTTGGCTGAATGATTTCTAGAGATTTCTAGAGAAGAATCCAGGGTAATATGTATAGCACCAGTCATTAAATAACTAAACATTGAAGATGAATGCTTTGCTAACCTGAAATAAATTATTGAGACAGACAAATTAATTGGGCTCATGGAGTTAAAATAATTCAAATGCACCCCATAAAGATATACAAATATTATCTGCAATAAAATTTTTAAAAACTAATTAATTTTATACATATGAATGTCATTAAATAGGTTTTTAAATCTTGTTACTATATAACCATAATAACATAAAAGTTGCCCACAACAGAATGAAAAGCAGACAACCTCAAATTCCTCATCCCAAAATTAAACTCTAGAAAGCTGCACAGCAGTGATGATAGCATGCTGATGAGAAAAGTTTGTAGGCCAATAATCCCACAGCCGAATTAAGGGTATTCCTGTGTGACAATAGAAAAACAACCTCATGTGAATGATCAGAGCTTACCCTATGTTTTACCAATCCTGGTCAAATCCCAGAGGCCATTCTCAAAGTGGATCACTCATGAAGCAAAACAAGAAATCAGAATTAGGCAAATCATAGTGAAAAAAGGAGTAGCAGTGAGCATTCAGACTACTCCAATACAAAGATCTAAATAGAAATATTCTCTGTCACAAACTTTTCAAAATATACCAGGAAAGCCTGAGTAAAGTAGGGGGAAAAAATAGGACACTAACAATTTGGATCAAGACTGGAATAAAAAAGATAAAGAAGCACCAAGAGGAAGAGTGGGTGAGGGAGGAGCACTGCGCCAGGCTCCAAGCTGAAGGAAGTGGGCACAGATTGAGTAATTTGCAAAACAAAGTCTACACAGGGATATTTGACACACTTAAAAGGCAACTGTTTGTACCATTTAAAAGCAGATATTTCTTTCCCAAATTCCTACAAAAGATAAAATCAAACAAAACATAATCTGTGTAGCAAATCACAATAAAGCTATGAAAAAAAATAAAAATAAGATAACAAAAGTAAAGCCAAGCATAGCAGATATGCCAGTAGGTAGAAAGAGGATAAACTTACATATCAAAAGGAAAACACTTTCATGTTTGGTAGCAAACAGATTCCAGCTTACTAAAAGATATTTAAGAGATGATTCAGAAAGTTTAAAAATCAAAGAATGTTAAAATAATGAGAACACAATAACAGAAAAAAAGCAGTGGTATATTAATGTTATATAAAGGAAAGCTCAAAGCCATAATCATTAAATGGGGTCAGAGAACGAGTTTATGTTAATCCATGACACAATTAAAATAAAGACACTGTAATCATACACTTTACAAGCCAAGTAACACTGTATTATATTAAATAAAGAAAAGTCACTGAGAAATAAAAAGTGAAATAAAATTCTACATGTAGTTGTATAAATGTTTGAGATCAATGTTAGAGAATCTGGAAAAATGAATCACTTTTTAAAGAGTAAAGTATATAAATGATAAAAAAGCTACTGGGAAAGTATAATTTCATTGATTAATCTGTAATCATGGGATAAGTGAGAAAACACATCAGTGAGTTACATATCCACATCTTTATCTACTCCAGAAAATGGAAAATGCATAGTTCATCTTATGAAGCAATCCTAATCTTGCTAATAAAACCAGACAA